TGTAAAGATATTTTAGTTAAATGATACAGGGTGTTCAAAATATATTTATGAATTTCAACTACTTAAAATTAAAAAATCTCAAATTTTTTAAATGGGACACCCTATATATTATCATTTTTTCTGATAGATTTGACAAAACTCTTCAACTTTTATTAAGTATGTCATATCCCTATTTTTAATAGTTTGCAATTTATTCCCATTTTTTCTATTTTTACCCATATTTTTAATACAATTACCCTATAAAATCATAGTTGCCATGACAAAACAAAACTATTTATTACTTACCTTTAACAAGTAGCTTCATAATTAGTTACAATTGCTGGTATTAGTTAAAATTAATTAACTTCACTCAAATAAACTAAATCGCAGTAGTGAATTTCTTGGTGTATTTCTATATTATAAAAGATGACACTTGGAATTTTTTGTCGGGGCGAATAGCCACAGATTAGGGTAATATTAGATTACCTAATTGCCAAAGACTACTGATATATGAATTTTCTTCGACATACAGTATAGTTTTTTTCTCGTAGTAATTCTGATTTATAATTCATTTGGTAAAGCCAATATTACTACTGCCACGAAACCGTCCCATTACACGATGCAGATAATATAGTTAGTAAGTTTTCTAGATAATATACATCTATCCTTATAGTAGTTAGCAAAGTACTATATAATAAATAGTACTGAACCAAAAAATGTGGTTTTCTAAGCTTCTCCGTGTATATCATTCACATTGACTAATTCATGTCAAGAAAATCTGTTATCTCTACCATTTATACTTACTTATTACAACAAATTAAACTAAAATTCAAATTTTATTCTGAACTTGCTTAACAGACATGAAATTGTCATAATTATTACTTTTTGTCATGGCAACTATGATGTTATAGCGCAATTGTATTAAAAATATGGGTAAAAATAGAAAAAATAGGAATTAATCGCAAACTAATAAAAATAGGTATATGACATTCTTAACAAAAGTTGAAAAGTTTGGTAAAATCTATGAGAAAAAAGGATAATATATAGGGTGTTCCATTTAAAAAAATTGAAATTCCTTAATTTTAATTAGTTGAAATTCCTAAATATATTTTGTACACCCTGTAACATCTAACTAAAATATCTTTACATAGGTCTTTTTCTATATCTCTATAAAATTCTCCTACCAAATTTTAGTTGTCCAACTTCAGAATCAATGCCATCATTGACAATTTTTTAACCCACTGCAATCTAACATTTGTTTAAACAAATTTAAATATAACAAAAACTATTAATTTTAGGTACATAACATTATATATAAAAAAGTAATGGAATTTTACGCAGAATCTAAAAATAAAATAAAAAATAGGGTGTTGCATTTAAAAAAACATATGTTATATTTGCCACACTTTTTTGAAGCACCCTGTATACTGTGTAATAATTTTAAAATGTGTATCTTAACCATCTCTATAACTTTTATATTTAATATTTTTTTGTAAACCTCGAAACAAATGAGATAATGGACTTTACTCTATCGTTGACTTGACCCTGTACTGTAAATAACTACCGTATGATCGAATAAAAACGGCGGCCAGTTGGCTGGGAAATGACGATCGATGACATTTCCCATATAAATTTACATATAAAATGACAGCGATCTTCATTTTATAGCCATCGCTGACGCCGTTTTTATTCGATCATACGGTATTACCATCAGTGACATAATGTCACATTTTAGGCAATGACAGCATGCGTTAAAAATTACATTTTTACTGACGTTTGTAGAAAAAATACTTTATTATCTATACTGTGTTTTTAATCAGACGGTGTTTTCTTTGAGGAATTATCGAAAATTTTATGTCAAGGCAAGAAAAATTTTTCAGGAGAACCAACCTGAATTAAGCTACGAAAAAGGCATTCCAAGGGTACGACCGCTCAGTATTTATGTGCTCTAGTATATGTGTCCAGCGCAAGTGGCTTTCTATGTACAAAGCGACGGCGACGCCACGTAGCACCCAAGGCTGCGACCGGTCCTGTCTAGGTGTAAAATAAATGCTTGTGTAACGTAATCATACTTAATAACCGTTGAAAATTACAGATCGGAGCGATTTTCCCAATTCGCTGAATGCCACCTGCCGATTGTTTGACGCGGTTGTGCAAAAATGTGACATGAAAATGATGCGAATTACATATGAGATTACCTAGGAAAATATATTCTTTCCATAGCGTTTTTTTGTTCTAGGTACCATCTCTTTATTATTCCTCACGATATGTTCCCAGTTTTCATATTTGACAAGTGATTATTATTGTAATAACCAGAATAACCTGTGTATTTCGCACTGAATAACAAATAAATAATATTTTATAAACTAATCAAAACGAATTAGGGATCACATATACCGGGTGTTGCATCGTCGAGCGGGACATAGGAAATCCCATGTAAATTTTAATGGGGTCAATTATTGGCTTCCCTAATTATTTTAGAGAATAATTCTATTTAGGTTTATTGAAGAGCACTAAACCCCACATTCAAGAGAATAACTTTAGATATTTTTGATTAGCCCGTTTACGAGTTATCGCCCGATTTCTGTTTAAATATTTCTCCTTTCTTATGGCCCTGTATTTACTTATGAGCACCAGTCAAGGTAAAAGATACCTGTCAAATGAAGTTGTTATTTCAGAAATTTATCTATTTAGTGCTTTATTATTGTTATTAAAAACTCATACCTACATCGAAAATATTAACCATGAATTACACTACCGAAGAAAAAGTATTGATGATTAAATGGTATTATCAAGGAAATAGTTATCAAAAGGTGTCGGACATGTTTGCTGCTCTGTATCCGAATAGACCGATACCTGGAAAATCTACAATCGCAAGGAATATCCAGAGATTTGAGACCAAAGGTACCCTAATAAATAACTGCAGATGTGAAGCAAGGCAGGAACAAAGAGAAGATGCAAGAAATGATACCGACTTGGAAGTTTTATTGTGCGTGGAAGAGAACGATGGAAAGATCAGCACAAGTAAACTTGAGGATGAAATAGAAATAGATCACACTACAGCGTTTTGAATTTTGAAACGACATAAATACTATTCCTTCAAATATGAAAAGCACCAAGAGCTACGAGATGGGGATAGATACGCCGGCAGGCGTTTTGTTTTGATATGATGGAAAGAGCACACACGGAGAGGGAATTTTTAAAAAACATATGTTTCACTGACGAATGCACCTTTACCTTAAATAATGAACCGAATGTTCAAAATTATCGATATTGGAACAAAGAAAACCAACACAGGTTTGTCGAAACAAGGACGCAATATCCACAGAAAGTAAATGTTTGGGCAGGGATATTCGAACACAATATTATCGGGCCATTATTTCTTACGCGAAATTTAAATGCAGAATATTATTTGGAACTACTCGAAAATCATATTTTACCTGCTTTACATGATGCCGCTAGGAAAAATCAGGAAGTTTGGTACCAAATGGATGGCTGCCCGGTACATAGTACCCTGGCTGTTCGGGAATATTTAGACAATAGTTTTAACGGAAACGTTATTGGCCTAAATCATACAGTAAATTGGCCAGCAAGGTCTCCTGATATTTCGCCAAATGATTTCTTTCTCTGGGGCCATTTAAAAACAGGATATACAAGGATAAAAATACCCAAATCTAGACGAGTTAAAAAATGCTATTTCTGCCGAATGCAATAGAATTTCAGTTTACCAACTAGCGAATGTAAGAAGATAATTTTATGATCGCCTGGGTTATGGTCTAGCAGTCGATGGAGGAATATTTGAACATCTTCTTAAATCCTAAAGTTCTAACAATTTAATAGTACCTAAATTAATAAGTTATTGAATATTGCAATAATACTATAATTAACCATGTAATTGATTACTTTATTTCACTTTAATTCATATTAATTTGTATTTATAAATACATCTTTAAGATTTCCGATGTAGGAATGAGTTTTCAATAATAATAAAGCACTAAATAGGTAAATTTCTGAAATGACAACTTCATTTGACAGTTATCTTTTACCTTGACTGGTGCTCATAAGTAAATACAGGGCCATAAGAAAGGAGAAATATTTAAAAAGAAATCGGCGATAACTCGTAAACGGGCTAATCAAAAATACCTAAAGTTATTCTTTTTGTGGGTTTTAGTGCTCTTCAATAAACCTAAATAGAATTATTCTCTAATATAATTAGGGAAGCTAATAATTGACCCCATTAAAATTTACATGGGATTTCCATGGGATACTGTTGTCCGTCCTGCTGGCTATATTGCCATTTGAGTCATTTGACTCTGTGGATCCTATTATTACCTGGTTCTTTTGTCGTATCCACTCTATTCTTTTACGGTCTCCCTTGGTTATTTCCAGCATATTTTGTTCAATTTATTGTTATTGTGCGACCTGCAGTTTCCTTATGATGTCCGTTTTAAGTGTTCAGGTTTTGCATGCATAGGTCATGGCATTCTAGATTTGAATATGATTTAGTTTCTTCTATAAGAACTCCATGCTAACTTAACTATTATCATTGCTAACTGACCTATTATTAGAGACCATATCTTGTTAGTGCATAATGTTTAGTAAGTAGGTCTTTTTAGTGTTCCTTAATTCATTTTTTGATTACATTAAGAACTAAATTTAATTTTCTAAGACTTGTTTTCCCCATATACAACGATCATCTGTTAATAATATCAATGAAAATGTAGGTATTTATTAAGATTGAACCAATATTATGTATTATTTCATATTTACATCATGTGTGAAGTAATTACAATAAGAAATACTGGTTGAAAACAACTGGTACCGCTTCTAAACTAGTTTAAGGTCAATAATTTGAACTTAAATTGATCTAGTAGCTTATTACGTTTCAATAACATTACAAGTACTACCAAAATCAATATTATTAAGAAATCGACTGATATATAACAGTCAAACTAGGGATAATTACGTAGTCAATCAAATAACTCCTGATTTTAGTTAAAATACATATCAAAATAACTCACCTTGAATATTACAGATAAACCAGATCACAACAGACTGTCCACCAAGTTATCTATCGACCCTATACACTGATCGAAATCGTTCCAAAACGATCGCAGAGTACCAACAAGAGGAAGAAAACAAACACTCGCGAGTACCGTTGCTCGGCGTCGGGTTCGTGCCACGGATGATGACTCTCGGCAGAAGACTGGCGATGGCGGTTCGGCGGGATCGCGAAGCCATGAACGGCGGGCGACCGTCGCGGCCTACTTGATATTAGCGGTTAATTGGTGGCGGGCGTCGTTTTGCGGCGCGCTGGATTAACTTTGGCGTTAAAATGTTCTCTGCAAAGATGTTGGTACTGTAAAAAAGGCAGTAAAGAGGTAGTTCTAACTGCCAGAATCTCTTGAAGAAGCTCCTTTCTTCAAGTTCATCAATCAATCATCAATCTCGAAGTTCTTTATTCGAAACATTATTTGAAATTTTGTCGCAGCACTGAGATGTGGTAAATGGACATTACGTGTTGGCCAGGTTGAGGGACCCTCCATTTTGAAATCTCTTAGACTATTCCTTGCCTATCTTCACGACCAACCATCCAGTGTATGTTTTGAAGGCACACAAGTACCAGCATCAAATTGATGCTTGCATCAGAAGGGCTACCTAGTGACCTGGACTCCTTACGTAAGTGTGCGAACACAATGCAAGCAGGTTTGCCGCTTACTGGTAGTCGGCGCCAATCTGGGTACCTATTCTTGACATCATTCGCAACTTTGCGTATACGCATCACGTGTATTGTTATAAACAGGGTATCCCAGAAATAAGTACCAGTATTTTAAAGGGTGGTAGATCTCGATAAAAGAAACATATTTTCTCTTTATCCAAAGCCTTTAAATAAGTCCAAAATAACGGAGTTATTTTACTTTGAAAATTTCCAAAAAAAATTATTTTTTGCTAATAGTTTGAGAACCTTCTTCTTCATGTGCCTTCTCCTCATCGGAGGTTGGCGACTATCAATTGGAATTCCTCCCTGTCTTGAGCCAAACGGATAATTGCCTGGCCTCTCCTATATTAAACCACTGGCGCAAATTCCGCAACCAGGAAAACCGTTTACGCCCGATGCCTCGTCGTCCTTCAATCTTTCCCTCAACGATCAGCTGTAGGAAACTATATTTGTTATTTCGAAAAATATGACCAAAATATGCTGCTTTCCGTCGTTTTATTGTAGTCAATAGTTCTTGGTCCTTAGACATTCTTTCCAATACGTCGAGATTTGTTTGAACCACTGGATCTTTTCTGGATTTTCTTTCTTGTAAATTTAATCTACTACTTATGTTGCCATATTATCAAGAAATTATTTTTTTTAAATAAAAACTAAAAAAAATCCAAAAAAATTTTCAAAAAATTCCGAATTTTCAAAAAGAAATTATTTAGAAAAAAACCTCATAGGCGTGTTTCTGGGGTTGAACTATACTACCAGTTAAGTTAAAATACTTGCACGTATTTCTGGGACACCCTGTATATGGGTACATAGTAGCGCCGCGCCGCCTCGCGCTTATAACCTTTAAAAATTAAAGCGTGTTATGAAATCGGCTAGTTCACAGTGAAAGCAGGTAGGCGCCGTCAACCAGCGTTCATCGGCGTTCTCGCTTTTACCGGAACGAAAATTTATATATTTCTGCTTTTGCAGGCGCCGACGGCGCACAGAGGGTATTAAGAACTGGAAGTTGCCAAAATTATGTTTTATGATTTTTTTGCTTTTTTGCTAGTAATATTAATTATTAGAGGAGAGGGTGCTAATATGGAACCCCACTTAGTTTTTCCTACACAATATTTTTTCCTCTACTCTGAAACCCTTTCCACCCATCAAATAGGGCCATTCTGTGCAAAACCAAGCAATTTGATGAGGATGCTAGAACAAGAAAGTAATTTGTATATTATAGACGATATTTGAGCGAGGATGGGTGTTATAGAGTAAAGACTATTTCCTTTAAGAATCTACTTAAATCAATGTTTTTTTTGGCAGTGGCAAATATTGGCAAGATTTTTGTACATATTCCAAAGCTGGAGACTTTAAGCACTGAACGGATACTAATTTCCATGCGGAATATTGCCGAATAGTCTTACACCTTATAAAAATTCCTCTGATTTTTTAAATATAAAACATTATACAGAAATAGAATAGAAGGAAAAGTTTCCAAATAAAAATATGGCATAAAACGGGACTTGCCAGCTGGCTCTGTATCCATCATGACAGTTATTATAAACAATTTGCAAAAAAAGCACTACAAACAATTCCACTATTTTATAATCTTAGAAATATTCAGAATACACTCAAGATAATTCATACTTATAATTGAAATATATTATTTATTTGATAGTCAACTTACGACTTAAAAAAAGCTAATAAACGTGCTTACATTTAGTATTTGTAGATTTGTATTCAGTTAAGATAAAAAATGAAAATATCACTTTTGGCCAGGTTTATAGACCAAATATACCTATGTGCGGCGCCGGCGCGGCGGGCGCGGCGTTTGAATATGATTAGGTTAGGTTAGGTTAGTTAATCAGGTAAATTTCCTCTTAATTATCTACTTCCGAACCGTGCTCGCATCCCCGAAAAAGCCCTATAACAATACACTTGATGCATAAACGCAAAGTTACGCATCACTTGCGAGTGGTCAAGAATAGGTCCCCAGAGACGGCGCTTGTTGCCGGAAAGCAGAAACCTGCCACCACTATGTTCGTACCCTAAGTTGTACTACCGCTTCCACAAAGCCTACGGTATTGGTTCAACTGAAGTTGATGAATATCTTTCAGCCTTCAGGTCATTCTTTTCTGCGGAGAGCCTTCTACAACTTCAAAAGATTAGGGAAGAGCACAAAAACGAAACTTGCAGTGTACCGAGCAATACTAATTCCCACCATGTTATATGGATGCGAAACCTGGGTGCTGTACCGCCGACACATAAACGCATTAAACAAGTTGCAACAGAGACATCTTAGACAACTCTTAAGAATAAAATGGTTCCATCATGTCTCAAACGTATCGGTCCTTGAAAAAGCTAACTGCGAGAGTATTGAAGTCATGATTACAAAGTCCCGCTTAAGATGGGCTGGTCACATATGCAGAATGCAATTGAATTGACGCAAACAGATGATCAAGCACCCTCTGAAAAATTAAGCGATAGCAAGCTTAGTCTATTCCTTATTAATATTCAGTCCTTAAGACATAAAACAGATGAATTATATCTTTTACTAGAAGAATTTCCAGATCATTGCCATAACTGAACACTGGTTAAATTTTGATGAGCCTGTGTTTGTTAAAAATTATGCAACAGTAGCCAGATTTAATAGAACAAATTTATCTCATAGAGGTACTATGATAATGTCTTTAAACAACGACTTTTCTGATGTAACTAATTACAATGATTAGTTATCTGAAAAAATATTCGAATTTTCCATTATCCACCATAATGCTTATGACCTTTACGTTATTTGTATTTATAGAACACCTAACTCTGACATGCAATTGTTCTGTCATAATCTACTAAGCTTGCTTGAGTCCCTGCCCTTAAAAAGCAAATTAATTTTGTGTGGCTAGTTATCTTAATATTGACTTTCTTAGTGTATGTGCTGCTCAGGAGTTTCTTCAGTCCATTTTTGATTCTTTTGGAATAGCCATGCATGTAGGCTCACCTACCAGAATATCCAAAACCAGTTCTAGTACTATAGACTATGTTGTGTCATCTTTTGATCCTAACTCCATCGCCTGCAACGTCTTTAGCTCGGGTCTCTCTGATCATGAAGCAGTTTTAACTAAATTTTCGATAAATTCCAAAATCAAAAATGCCCCTCGTAAATTATGCCGTATTTTTTCAGAAAAGAATGCTAAAAAATTCAGCCACTTATGTAAAATATCCAACTGGGATACTCGCTCCTATGATGTCGACACCGAATTTTCTATTTTCGTAAAAACATTAACCAGTCTAGCGTTCAAATCCTTTCCTCTTAGGCCTATTCAAAATAAGCATAATAAACCTTGGACCACTAAAGGTCTGCGCATATCTTCTTGCCGTTCATTATCTCACTTAAAAAACTTCTCAGACAGTGTCTTCTTCCACAATTACGTAAAACTATACTGAAAAATTTATCATAAGACTATAAGAACCGCTAAGGACCTTTATTATAATAGGAGAATCGCCAATTCTAGTAATGTTGCTAAAGAAACATGGTCTATTGTGAATGATTTGAGGAACATAGTTTCTTCGTCTAGCAATATCTCAACCTCACCTGAGAACCTTAACGATTACTTTGTAAATGTAGCGAAAAATTTAACTAATACCATATGTCCTCCTCATGATCCACTTTCATATCTCTCTAAAGATAATGTAAACTTACACAGTTTCTCTTTTTTCGCCTGTAGTTTTAGAAGAGCTTCGCAGAACAATTAATACCATCAAAAATAAATCTCATCTGGGACTGACGGGCTACCTTTAAAAATGTTTTCGAATGCGCCAGAAAGCACTCTGAATCACCTAACTACTTTAATAAACATGTCATTCTGAAATGGTATTTTTCCAAAATGTCTTAAGACGGCAATAATCATTCCTCTGCATACAGGAGGAGACAAAGATCAAGCTTCTAACTATCGCCCAATTGCACTCCTTCCAACGCTATCTAAGATCATAGAAAGGTTGGTTAAAAGAAGGCTGGTATCTTTTCTGTTTAAGTACAAAATACTTCCTGAACATTGGATTTCTAAGCAACAAGTCCACAAATGACGCTATGTTTTCGCTCCTTAATAAAGTTTACTCCAGCCTAAATAACCATCATTCTACAGCAACAATTTTCTGTGATTTTTCTAAGGCTTTCGACTGTGTAAATCGTAAGATCCTAATTAATAAACTGCAGCACTATGGGTTCAGGGGAACATCTTTCGAATGGTTTAAGTCGTATCTGATCAACAGAAGTCAACTTGTGAGGGTGAGTACCACGTTGTCTTCTACTAGGCCATATTTTGTTTCTTCTTTTTATTAACGACATTGCTAACATAAACATCAGTGGCAAAATATGTCTTTTTGCGGACGACACTAGCTTCACTTGGAGCAACAAGGACGTCACGGCACTTCATAGAATTATATCAAATGACTTAACCACCATTAAATCTTGGTGCGATTCGAACCTCCTGAGTCTCAATATTTCTAAAACTAAAGCTTTGTCGTATAAAACTCGCTGCAGCCTTTTGTACTTAACAACAACACCATTAACGTCGTAAAATCTGTAAAATTCTTAGGGCTTGTTGTAGACAATTCTCTGAAATGATACATGCATATGGACGCTTTGTCGAAAAAATTAAGCTCTGCCTGTTTTGCATTAAGATCTGTTTCTAAGGAGCTTAACTTGTTGGTGGCTAGAACTGTTTATTATGCACTTTTTGAGTCGCACCTCAGATATGCCCTTCCATTCTGGGGTACGTGTTGTGCGACTCAATTTGACCGCATTTTCAAGCTCCAGAATGAGCTGTTCGATATTCACTGGGACTAAACAGCAGAACTCTCATTGCCAGGACTTTTTTAAAAATTAAAAATATTAACTCTTCCTTCCTTATTTATATTTGAATCCGTTTGCCTAATACGTAAGCATGTATCAGCTTCTCAAGAAAGGCCATCTCACACTTAGCCACTCAGGAACGCTGAGCAAGTCTTTATCTACCTACCCCACGCTCAGAGTTAGTTAAAAGTTCAATATTATACTTACAACTCGAAAAAAATGCAAAATCACCTGCCATTTGCAATCAAATCCATAACATCATTTTCTTCATTTCGCAAAGCATTGAAATCTTATTTACTAGACAAGGCTTTCTACGCCGTAAATGACATATTTTGATAATCGAATTTGATCTTGTAAACACTGGTCTAATATTTGCTATTACTACATTTACTATGAACTTTCAAAATATTTTTGAATCTTATTTTTTTATTCTTTGACATTGTAAACATTTATAAATGTTTAATTTAAACAATAAAACTGACAATGTAATTTGTATATTTGTTTGGTATTCTCTTCTCTTTGATAGTTTGTTTACTTTACCTTTGTCTACAAATTGTAAAATTTTTTGACAATAAAGGCATTTATTTATTTATTTATTTATTTAAGATTTGTACATTCTCTACAGAGCATGGCATCGTTGTAAGAAAAAATATGTCCTTACAATAATAATTACATCACTTAATAATTGGCCTTTAATCTCTAACACTATATTTACAAGGATTAAAAGGCGTCTTTAAGCAAATTTATAGTGAAAATATTAAATTTCGTTTGTCTTTAATAAATTCCTCCCACAATCCGTCTGTCCGTTCAACAGATCCACATTCAAAGACCGCCTCTCGTTGATATGTTTCTGCAAAGAGTCCAGAACTTTGGCGCTGCAAAGTGGTACTTCTTGAGGTACTGTCGTGTTGAAAAGTCTCTTGTTAACTACGTACTCCTTTTTGGCAGCGTTATGCTCCAAGCAAGGCGCAAAGCGGTAACCCCACATGATCTCTTTGTTTAGGTACGAAGTTTGGCTTTTGGTGGATTGGCCGGTTTTGACAGAACTGCCTGATACCACCACAACAATTTCCAGTCTAAAACAATGATTAATTATACCTGTGTACCAATATCCTCTGGTTGTATGCTAGAAAGTAAATTTTCAAGTATATATTTTCATCGATAGGTTTGTAGCTTCTTAATAACAGTCTAGGTAAAGCATCTAGCTCATTTGCTAGCTTAGAAATAGAATTATTAGAGTTAAGCAACTCGCATTTTCATTGAAGGACATTGTCATATTTATTTCAAACCAATAATCGACGAGAATATTTGTATAATTTAACAAAAATTACTGTAAACCATTAAAAATACAAATTGTTGGTTAGGTTCAAAATTTTTTCTCTTCTTAAATAAATTTAAGCGTTAAAATTATTAGGAATTTGTATAAAAGTGTGTATTTTGAGTAGTATTGCACAAAATTTGCAGGCTATTGAAAAAACAGAAAATTTACAGATTACAGAAATAAATTGAAAATAACATTTATATTTATACACACACCGACCGGTAAAAAAAACGCCCACTGAAGACTAGTCCCAAATTCAGAGTTGGATTTCTCGCGAACCACTAATAGATTTTGATGATTTTTTTAAAATTCTAAATTAATTTCTTCTTAACGGATGCTACGGTGGTCCGAACTGTATTCCGGGAACTTCGGCAGCATATTCTGCAGATAAAAATATGTAAAAAAGTTCGTATAAATGTATGTCCTAAAATGCTTAGTTTCGGAGATACAGGGTGCAGAAATTTAATTTTTATTTCGATTTTTTCCAAATAATTTCTGGAGTAACGGCAATATTTGGATAAAAATTGGTGTCTGAGAGTTTTTTGACATGAGAAATTTGATTTTGATGTCAATATGACTCCTACTAGTGGAGGGCGCCACCTACATATTTTTTAACTGGTTTGAAGAGTAATAACTTTTCGTCCGTACCTGTATAAAATTACTGAGTAAAAAAATATACATTTACGACGTTTTTTACGTGAAAAAGGTCTCTTGGTAAAAATCGCTACGAGTAATGGCTTTCGAGATATTTTCAATCGAAATTATCAATACCTGTCATCATTGACATAAATTAAACATGTTGACTAAATAGTTATTAGACTGAAATCATAAATGTGAAATGTTTTTGAGTCAAAAGTTCAACAGAAACGGTTTTATCATCATTTTTTGCAGAAAAAATTATGATTAATTTAAAAAAATAAAAATTTCCCAAATTTATTATTTCGGTGAAATAACTATCTACTCATAACGTGTTTATTTTTCGTCAATAATGACAAGTATTGACTATTTCCATTCTCAAATATCTTAAGAACGGTTGCTCGTAACGATTTTTACAAAGATATATTTTTTACGTAAAAAGTCACAGATATGTATATTTTTTCACTCGGTAGTATTATACAGGTACGTACAAAAAGTTATTACGCTTCAAAACAGTTAAAACACATGTAGGTAGCGCCCTCTACTAGTAGGAGTCATATTGACATCAAAATCAAATTTCTCACATCAAAAAATTCCCAGACACCCATTTTCATCTAAATATGGACGTTACTTCAGAAATTATTAAGAAAAAATCGAAATAAAAATGAAACTTCTACACCCTGTATCTCTGAAACTAAGCATTTTAGGACATACATTTATACGAACTTTTTTACTTATTTTTATCTGCAGAATATGCTGCCGAAGTTTCCGGAATACAATTCGGACCACCCTGTATACAGGGCACAACAATAAGACGAAGCTTTTTGCCCGAACTTTGTAACACCCTGTAGGGTGCAGCAACTGTAGTAGCTATTGCTAAATCAAATCACATTATAGAGTGTTTTTTTTTTATCTTTTGTGAGTATTTTTCTTTTTTAATCACGACATTCGGAAAAATGTTTCGCAGGCAAAACCGCGATTCGTCCGTGAAAAGGACCTTAGTCTATTGCTCAATATCCCAATTCACATGTAAACGCGGAAACTGAAGACGTGCTCAACGATGTCTTGAAAGCAGCTGGGGTCCTATGGCAGGCCTCCTTGCACGCAAGCTGTTTTATTTTAGTCTTCGTCGGATTGATCTCTCACTGCCTTGGGTTCTACGCACGGCTTGTAGCAGATGTCGATTCTGAAACGCTGTAATTCTACAATTTCGTATAGTATTCAGGGCAAAATAAAACACTAAATTACCACAATACACCAAAACACTTTTACACTGGACGCGCGTTTCGCTAACCATGTTAGCATCATCAGCAGATGATTATAAATTTGGTTAGCGAAACGCGCGTCCAGTGTAAAAGTGTTTTGGTGTATTATGGTGATTTAGTGTTTTATTTTGCTGTGTAACACCAAAGGTTCCAACCCTCAACTGTAATATTCTGGGCAATAAAGAGGTCGTCAATTGCATTTTACTTCCGTTTTCTTTCGGAACCCACTCGCCTGGTGAAATTTCCCGTTTTCATATACCGATTCAGTGGCGTAACTACCGATGTGCCGTGTGCCTCCGGGGGCCCGGGCCGCATTCCCATATCTATCACATGCTATAAAGAATCAAGCAGAATCGGACGATCCCGAACTAAGTTTTTATCTATCACATGTCTTCTTAACTACTTAACTAGCACACGCTATCGCGAAAATAACTTATTGCTTTACACTTGTTCTTGTGCAATTTTGTAGCTGTGTTTTCCCTTTATATTTTGCAAAATAAAAATAACTGGAAACATGTGATTTTTCATTAAAGCATTAAATTTGACAAAAAAGGAAATTTGCTGTATTGTCACTGGGTTTCTGTACCATCGAATAGAAATAGAACTAAGTAGTTGTAGCATTAAAAAGAGCATGAAAAATTATACTGGCCAAACTAGTTAACTCAATATCTCAAAAACTCTAGTTACCAAATGATGGTTGTATTAAGGGGACGATAAGGCAGCTGAGTTACGAGAGGTGCTCGAAACTGCCACTTTTTGGCAATTATTTCAATAGAAAATGAAGTTACTCGTACAACAGACATTGGTAATATTGTGTCAACTTTCGCCCATGCTAAAGCAAGGAAAAAAGAATTTTAACATGTTCATGTTCCTATTTACATTGTTTATTTTAATTTAGTTAGTTTTGTTGTTGTTTTTTATTTTGTTTTTATTTATTTTTTATTTATTTGATATTTTATATGTTTTGTTGTTGTTTTTTATTTTGTTTTTATTCATTTTTTATTTATTTGATATTTTATATGTTTTGGGTTACATATTCTGTGTTGCAGTAATAAATAATACTATATATAAAAATTAATTTGATAATGTTATTTCTAACCTAAAATATGGGGGGTCCGGTAAAATTTTTGCACACAGACCCGTGAGTCTGTTGTTACGCCACTGTACCGATTCCAGGCATCCTGGATTGTTGCTCGAGGTATAACCCCTGGTATCGGACACATAACGTTGACTTTGGCCATCCTCAATTAAAGCCACAATACGAGCAACATCCGTCACAGATAATAGCATTTTTTAATTTGCCAGTCGTGTTGCCATATACTTCATCAATCTGTTTTCGTCTATGTCGCCTTGATTATCCACACATAAAACTTTTTACCTGGGAAGCAATTTTCCGAGACGTTAGTTTTAAAGCAGTATATCTTCAATACAAACAGAGATAATGATGTGATTAAAAAAACAAAATGCTCACAAAAGATGAGGCTACAATGTGATTTAATTTAGTAATAGCTACTACAGCTGGTGCAGCAGCTGTAGTAGCTACAAGGTGTTACAAAGTTCGGGCAAAAAACCTCGTCATATTGTTCTGCCCTGTATATGCTCGAAATACACACAACCAAACTTATATCTATTATTTTTCATAATTTTTGAGATGTATGAAAATTTTGTGTTTATGAATAAAACTCAGACCTTACCGATGATTTTTAATGAAAAATAATCCATATAGCGAAAAAAAAAATTAATCAGTTCCAAAAATAAACAAAATGGTATTTTTTTAGTTCCTGAAACGAAATTAAGGTTTAAATTTTTAATGGCCAAAAAGCATAAACAGAAAGAAAACTAATAATTTTAATATTCCTTGTTACCACCTCTAACCCTTATGCAAGTTTCTATCCGCACTGGCATGCTTCTTATTAAATTATACACGTTGTCTTGGAGTATGTTTTCCCATTCTGCTAATGCTGCATCAATAAGCTATAAGAGATTTCCTGGATTGTTTCGACGAGCTTTAACCTTTCTTTTAAGCTAGTCCCACAAGTGTTCGATAGGGTTCAGATCTGGTAAATAGGCAGGCCAGTCCAAAACTATGACACTTTCCGTTTCAAGACATTCTCTAGTCACTCTGCTGGTATGGGGAGGTGCACTATCGTGCATGAAGTTAAAATTATCCCCAATTGCAGTTCTCCAAAGACTAACGATTGGTTCTAGCACCATATCAACATATCTCCGACCCGTTAAAATTTGTTGAAGCGGTAACAGTGGAGTTTTTTCTCCCATTATAATACCTCCCCAGAACATTACAGTTCCTCCTTTATATCTTGGTACAGATTTGGCAGCCTGAAGTCTCGCTCGTCTTCCTGGAGCTCTGAGAACCTGAATTTGATGGTTATCTGATCTTAGGCCAATTCTGGTATCATTCCAAAAAAGAACATTTTGCCAATTCTCAGTTGTCCAGTTTTGATGTTGAAGACGTCAATTTAGCCGGTCAATTTTATTTTGCCGAGATAACTGTGGGATCCGCAACTCTCTCCTACTGTAAAACCCTCGTGCACGAAGCCTTTTTCTTATGGTTTTAACTAAAACGTTCACACTTGTAGCTGCCAGAATTTGTCTTTATAGCTCTGGATGAGAAACATTGGGATTTATTCTAGCAATTTAACACACAATGCAGCCTTGTTGTTCAGTTATGACTCTTTGACGACTTTGTCTGGGCCTATCCTTGTGTGATTCCTAATTCCAAGTATCTGCCATATGTTTTCGATACAACACCCTGGGTAACGCCTACTATCTCTGCTACGCCTTTCTGGAGCATTCCTTGTTCGGTAAGGGGAATAATTATTCCCCCCTGTACATCTGTTAATCCAACCTAAGGCATTTTTTAATTTTTTTGCATTGGATGAAAATTACCGGACAATTGTGATTTTACTACTGAACACAAAATTCAAAAGAAAATAAATCGCAGCAGTCGCTTATTCTTTATTATCATGTTTATTTACAACAAAAAGCCTTATCTTAAAGTTGTATACCAATTTTTATCCATGCAAGAAATTTAGTCAGAAATAAAGAGTGATTCCTTATAAGTTTGGTTGAGTGTAAATTCGGAATAAAAATGACTGACATAGCATCCGTTATGAAGGAATTAATTTACAATTCAAAAAAAATCATCAAAATCTAACGAGTGGTTCGCGAGAAATCCAACTTTGGAATTGAGACTAGTTTTTAGTGGCCGTTTTTTTGCCGCAGTATTAAAACAGCATATGTCACTTTTTACAGACATGTCCTTCAAATCCTTCATTTAATAGCTGTTTTTTAACAGAAGTTTCATTTCAAATATACGCACATAGTGCACACACTGTTTTTTTTATTGAAAACATGCTGTATTTTTAGTTAATAATTTCTATTTTTTTAAGTATTTTTACCGAACCTACTTACTTGTTGGTCATCAAGTCTCTAGCAGAAACCTGCCACAAGGGACTTTTGCAGTTGATTTCGTGCACGACATCAATTGGCCAGAACAACATACCATAGGGCTGTGTCTCCAATTCTGTGACAAAATGTTTATCAATTACATCTTCCTCCGATACGGATTCTTTTATCAGGTACATCCGTATGTCGCTAGTTATCCAGTGTTTTCCTTCCCTATCATTTACCCGTACTATTAGACACAAAGATCCGTTTCTCATAGCTATCTGAAAGACAGTTGAAACCATGTAAATGTGTTATAACAATAAAACAAATATAATTTTTGCATGTTACCTAATATAAACTCACCGGCAGCTTAAAACTAGTTCCAATTTCAAACTTGGATTTCTCGCGAACCACTCATTAGATTCTGATGATTTTTTTTTAATTCTAAATTAATTCTTTCCTAACTGATGCTATCTCGGAAATTTTTATTACGAATTTATTTTGAGCATTTATACTGGGCACAACAATAAGACGAAATTTTTTGCAAGAACTTTGTAGCACAGCAGCTGTATTAGCTATTGCTAAATCAAATCACATTGTAGTCTCATCTTTTGTGAGCATTTTGTTTTTTTAATCACGACATTATCTCTGTTTGTATTGAAGATACGCTGCTTTAAAACGAAGGTCTCGGAAAAATGCTTCGCAGGCAGAAAGTTTTATGTGTAAATAATCAAGGCGGCATAGGCGAAAACGGATTTATGAGTATTTGCAATATGACAATAACGGTTGTCAAATTAAAAACTACCATTATCTGTGACGGATGTTGCTCGTATTGTAGCTTTAATTGAGGATGGCCGAAGCCAACGTTATGTGTCTGATACCCTGGGTATACCTCGAACAACAGTCCAGGATGACTGGAATCGGTATATTATGGAAAGGGGAAATTTCACCAGGCGAGTGGGTTCCAGAAAAAAGCCGAAGACAAATGCAATTGACGGCCGCTTTATTGTCTTGAATACTTTACGAAATCGTAGAATTACAGCGTTTCAGAATCAACATCTGCTACAAGCCGTGCGTAGAACTCAAGTCAGTAAGAGAATAATTCGACGAAGATTAAAAGAAAACAGCTTGTCTGCAAGGAAGCCTGCCACAGGACCCCAGCTAGTTCCAAGACATGTGAATTGGGATATTGAGCAATGAACTAAAGTCCTTTTCACGGATGAATGGCGGTTTTGCCTGCGAAGCATTTTTCCGAGACGTTCGTTTTAAAGCAGCGTATCTCCAATACAAACAGAGATAATGTCGTGAGTAAAAAATCAAAATGTTCACAAAGGCTATAATATTATTTGATTTAGCAATTGCTACTACAACTGCTGCACCCTACAGGGTGTTACAAAGTTCGGGCAAAAAACTTCGTCTTATTGTTGAGCCCTGTACAGGGTGTCCCATTTTGGTTGAAATCATACGGTATCTCTGTTATTCGTGAAGATAGAAGGGTGCGGTTTGCACAAACCTGTGCCACTTTTTTGTCAAACGGAAAATGTTGTAAACAAAATTTTCATAGCTCTCTTCGTTTCTGAGCTACAGGGTCTTTTTGAAAATTTTGCAATTTGGGACACCCCTTGTATCTCTGTTATTGTTAAAGGTATTGAAACCGTGAAAACTGTTTATTGTAGAACTTTTTACGTAGAATACAGTGGCGTAGTCTGTTATTCTACCAAAAAAATATTTTTAAATATATAAACTAAAGTTATGTTTTCTTAAATGGAACACCCTGTATATTAATAAATTATATGATCTGGCTTGCCATAAGCTTCTCAAAAATATATAATACTCTATATTTATTTTCATTATTTAATGCAATATTTAAAAAAATATATTAAAAGATCATATTTATTAGCAGGCCATGATTGATAATAAAACAAACTAAAGAATTATTAAAAGTAATACTGTTATCTGTCTCTTGTTTTATTTTGAGAGCCACTAATTAATTCTTTGTATATTAGGGAAACTTAAATCTCTACCGCTATTTCTAATTCTTGGAAGCTAGCGTATCGGAACTTTTAAATATTCCTTTAGCTAATTTACGTCAAATATACTTTCAGCTAAGATGGGACTTAACTTACAACGAAAATATTAGAATTTTGTTAAATTATTTAATATTAAGACCCTGTAGCTTAGAAACGAAGAGAGCTATGAAAATTTTGTTGACAGCATCTTCCGTTTAACAAAAAAGTGGCACAGGTTTGTGCAAACTGCACCTTTCTATCTTCACGAATAACGGAGATACTGCTTGATTTCAACCAAAATGGGACACCCTGTACAGGGTGGCGCACCTCATTCGCCTCGGTTGATTATACGAAAACAGAAAGATGTAGAAACAAAGTATTTTATGGGTATATGTAAGGAGATAATGCGCACAATTTAAAATTATTTTCAAACATACAGGGTGTTTCAGAACTAAGACCCATACCAAAGTTATATTTTTTTCTTATGGAACACCCGGTATTTTATTTCATTTTTGGATTGTTGGGCCAAAAAAAAGGCATTTACTATAAGGGTTAAATATGTCTAAAATCTTTGGTTTTTGAGATATTTAAAGATATTTAAATTTGCATGCTACAATAGAATAGGTTATTAACACCCTGTACATTACTTTTCATAATTAATTATTATGTTGAGTTTAAAGGTAGAGAAATAAACTTTACTGAAAAATGGTATTGCATCCTCAAATTTTTACAGGGCTATACAAAGCTATCTAAAGTTACTGATCTATTTTAAGGATGTATTTTATATAAAAACTTCGTTATTTCAAATGCAACACCCTGTATTTTTTAAAATAAATCAAAGCAGATTCAAATGCTCTTTCAAACTATATTAAGGTTTCCTATACCTATCTAGCTCAGATTTTGAATAAAAAGAGATTTCTAAATAAAATTGCAATCAAGCTGGCTGGTGTCGCCATGGCAATTTTCTAGTGACAGTTAGTAACTATTTTCAAAGTCGACATTAGTTTATGGACATTATTATTTATAATTTATAACAGTTTACTTTAATTTACCTACAATAGTTTAATAAATAAGTATTCATTATTTTATCAAGAAAAATAAAGCAGTATCTGCTGGCGGAACGAATAGATATGTTACTAGTGATTTTATTTTGTGAGGAAATGAGTGGTATAAATTTAAATAAGTCCATAAGCTAAATTCGATTTTGAAAATAGCTACTGTCACTAGAAACTTGCCATGACGACACTAGCCCTCTTGGTTGCCATTTTATTGAAAAATTGCTCATTATTCAAAATCTGAGCTAGATCGGTATAGGAAACCCTAATGTAGTTTGAAAGAGCATTTGAATCTTCTTCGATTTATTTAAAAAATACAGGGTGTTGTATTTGAAATAACAAAGTTTTTATGGGAAATATATTCTTAAAATAGATCAGCAATTTTTGATACCCCTGTATAAACTTAAGAAAGCAATAACATTTTTCTGTAAAATTTATTTCTCTACCTTTAAACTCAGCACAAGAATTAATTCTGGAAAGCAATGCACAGGGTGTTAATAATCTATTCTATTGTAGCATGCAAATTTAAATATCTTTAAATATCTCAAAAATATCTTTCCATTTTCGTATAGTCAACCGGGGCGTATGAGGTGCGCCACCCTGTATATGCTCAAAATAAATTCGGAATAAAAATTTCTGACGTAGCATCCGTTAAGAAGGAATTAATTTACAATTTAAAAAAATCATAAAAATCTAATGAGTGGCTCGCGAGAATTCCAACTTTGAAAATGGGACTAGTTTTTAGTGGCCAGTTTTTTTTGTCGGTGAGTGTATTTAAAAATAATGAAATTAATAGTCTAAACAACGAAACCTAAATAGTCTAAGGCTTTAGATTTCATCTACTAGTATTTACTATAGCTCAAAATAAACGATTCTGCTTCTGAACTCGATTCGTATTTACCACGGCTTTTCTACTGAAAATTTTTCCATATACGTTTTGATCTTTGATCCTGTTCAGTTTAGCGTATACTACAGATATAAACATGCCATCTATGAAGATACTGGTCAGAGTACTGAACGTCAGTACTACGTAAAACAGACTGCAGTTTTCAGTAGGATGCATATATCCATATCCGGTAGTGGTCATCGTCTCTATTCCGAGCATAAAGAAATTTGATATTTTGTTCACTCCCTCAATGCAAACTAAATGATCTGGAAGAAAAAAGGTCAATAGTTAAATATTTGGGATGATATTCAAAGCATAAAGGTTGATTCTTACTACACCTTTCGTTTCCATTCCATATCCTTCCCGTATTTTTTATTCTATTGTTACGTTTTTCGTCGATTCCGTGTGGATAGAAAGTCACAATTTATTTAAACACTATTTATTTAACACTAATTAACAAAAACAATAACGATAAAAGACTTATAGAACTATTTACAAACGATTTATAACTAAGAATTAATTCTGAATTTTAGCGCGTCAACTGCACTCGTCTATTTATAACTGTCCTCTCTAGGCCACAGCCGCCGGCTTTTATACTGACAGCTAAAGATCTCTAGAATAGTCCATAGATCGTTAGGTGCATAGAGAAGGTTTCGAATGTTCTCGTATGTACTACTCCATTCCAGTGGGACTCGATTCTTCTCGAACGAATGAATCATTACGGTGTCTATTCTTTAGTGCGATGTTAAGGTCATCTGAGGGCGGGACATATAGTTAGGTTAGGTCGATTCCACACGGGTCCGCAACACTGCCCCCTTCTTAGGTACATGCTCGTCCCGAGATGTACACGGTGAATGAAGGTATTTGCAAAGCTGGCCCCTGGTACACTGAGAAGTCTGGTAGAAATAGCAGTCTACAGTTTTCTCTCCCGATGTCAGCTTTGGGTTGTAGCAGCAAACGAGGATCTCGATTCCCGTAAATCTGAACAAGACTTCAATCATGTTCCGGATTGTACGCCAACTCAAACCACCAGTCCACACGCCAGCTTCGGAATGGCTAATCGTGTAATGTTGTTGTTTAGCAGGGCTTCTCTCAGTTCAATCAGGGTCTTCCATAGATTGAGATAAGTCGGCTTACTTGGGGACCATTCCTTGGTGACTAGGTAGAAAATGTGCCTTGCTTGACCATGTTCATTGTCGGTTAGCCTCAAGACGCTTCCAACCTCTGGATCTTGTCGGCGTAGTTCTCCGACTCGCCCAAACTTCTCATTGACCGTCGCAGCGATTCCTCTGGACATCCGCAAATCTCGGGCCACACAGTGAGCGAGCGAATAATCAGGAGGCACGGAAAAGAGGTCTCGTTGTTCTTCTTTGATTACACCATAGCGAGCCTTCTGACTGCTGTTGTATCGGGCCATGAAATCGTCAAAGGACATCTCCGAATCAGGGGGATCAAAGCTGCAGGTTCTCACGGTCCCAGCACGATCTTCTATTTCGCCTTGGTAGGGGCTCAAACGGTTGAAATGGACTACCCTCGGTTTTCCTTTTGGCAATTTTCTGATACGGTATACGACGTCATTAATTCTATCCATGACTTCGTATGGCCCTTCCCACGAGGATTGTAGCTTCGGAGATAACCCACGACGTCTCTGCGGGTTATATAGCCACACCAACTTCCCTGGTTGGTATCCTCCATGCTCAGCTTGAATGTCGTAGTGTTCCTTCATTCGGTCACTAGCACTTTGAATATTTAGGCGGACTCTCTGATGAATGTCGTCCATCCTTTGACGTAGTGTGTGGACATAATCTTCTCCGGCGACTTCTTCTCCCGGTCGGCAACCAAATTTCAGATCACAGGGTAGGCGCACTTCCCGTCCCATAACGATGCTGGCTGGAGTTTGCCCTGTAGATTCTTGGACGGATGAACGGTAGGCCAACAGGAACAGGTGAAGAAATTTGTCCCAGTCTCTTTGGTGGTCAGAGACTACTTTGGCCAGATAACGGTTGATAGTTCTGTTCATGCGTTCAACCATCCCATCGGATTGTGGATGTAGAGCAGTCGTCCTGGTCTTGCGGATGTTCAGGACTTCACAGACGCCTTGGAACAGATTGGACTCAAAGTTTCTTCCCTGATCTGAATGAAGCTCCATGGGAACACCAAACCTGCAGATCCATTCTTTAACAAGGGCATCAGCAATCGTGGACGCTTCTTGATTTGGCAACGCGTAGGCCTCGACCCATTTGCTGAAGTAATCCATTACTACCACAATGTATTTGTTGCCATCGTTCGTCTCCGGGAAAGGACCAGCCACGTCGATCGCTATTCGTTCGAAGGGACTACCAACATTGTACTGGCGCATAGGGGCTTTACCACGCTTTTGTGGCCCATTAATGGCTGCGCAAATATCACATTTCTTACACCACACAGGCCCTCACATCTTCTTTGCAGTTCACCCAGTAGAACCGTTCACGCAGCTTGCCAAGTGTCTTGGTAACACCAAGATGTCCACCGCTGGCTCCATTGTGAACTTCCTCCAACACTTCTGGGACCCTCTTCTTTGGAATGACGATCTGCCTTCTCCCTTCTTGTCCCTCCGGTCTCTCGATCACACGGCGAAGTAGTCCGTTATCTATTACCAAGGAATTCCACTGGGCCCAGTACGACTTTACGTTCGGCGAATATCTGCAAACTTCTTCCCACGTTGGTCTTTGGCCTGCGTTTTTCCAGTTAATTACTAAACCTAATTCTGGGTCACTGGTTTGGTCATTTGCAAGATCTTCGGGTTGCCAACTATCATTAACCACAGTTGTTCCTAGGAGTTTCACTTCTTTCTCTTCTGCTCGGGAAAAACTGCACTCGTCTATTTATAACTACCCTCTCTAGGCCACAGCCGCCGGCTTTTATACCGACAGCTAAAGATCTCTAGAATAGCCCATAGATCGTTAGGTGCATAGAGAAGGTTTCGAATGTTCTACGGAGGATACCGCTTAAATTCCTGTCCCGATATTGAAGGATGGCTATAGAATTTCAATGCATTTCCTACATAAGTCTATCCTTGGTTTGTAGGAGGTTTGACTAAACAAGGATGAACCTATGTCTTGAACATTCGACTCGATTTTCTGTCCTCCTTCAATACTGGGACGTAAATCCTCTCATTGCTCTTATGGGGAGGCCGTCGTATATTTTATTTAAACGTATTTGTCTCGTATGTACTACTCCATTCCAGTGGGACTCGATTCTTCTCGAACGAATGAATCATTACGGTGTCTATTCTTTAGTGCGATGTTAAGGTCATCTGAGGGCGGGACATATAGTTAGGTTAGGTCGAGTCCACACGGGTCCGCAACACTATTGACGCTATACGTAAGCTTCCATTCCGTATCAGCTCCATACTTATTATTGTACAATTAATATCATTACGAAAGTTTTATTTTAAAAATTTGTATCTTTTTAAAAAGGTAATAGAATTAATTAAGAGGTGGATAAATAAATAAATATCAGCAAAATGTTAACAGAGCTGGTATAAATGTAAGAACTTGACAACGCTTTTTCCGATACGCTTCAGTCCGTCCGCCAAAAAATATGTATGGAAGGAAAGGATATGGAACGGAAGGGAAACGGAACGGATAGTGTGCATTGTCCTGTTAATTTACATGATATAATATTTTATTTAAACGGAAGGGAAACGGAAGGTACCTGATATGGAAGGTATAGTGAGAATATTTTTGACTCAATCAAGATATTTTTGACTCAATCTGCAACGTAAATATCCTTTGGAATTTCTACCTCAAGGAAAACAATGGCAAATTACTTATCTTAGGTAGGAACTAACGGAAAGCTATCAACTCAGTAAAAATCAATCTATCCCCGTTCCTTATTCCAAAATATTCAGTGATATTTTTTAGAAATTAATAATAGTATATTACATACCGGGGAAGGAGGGAAGTGTTTCATTACTGTCGAGAGATTAACTAAATCTCGAGACGATAATGAAAACTTTCCTCCGAGGTTTGTATACTATTTTATTTACAACCACATCATTAATTAAAAAATAGGGACAGTCTTTTATTTTGAAAAAAAAAATATGCGAAATTTTATCGTTTTCTGTTTTGGCATTTCCATATCTATAGTTACCGGTACCAGTGGTTGTTATGGCGCAAACCTTCAACAGCAAAACAAACAACTAAGTGACAGTTTTGAATTTCTCGTTCGTTTTTTCGAATTTATATAACATAGAAAGCCAGAATGTTGTCGGAAAGTTCTGATAATGAAGACTACTTTAATATTGGTACTCCACCAGAACTTACAGAAGCTGCAAAAAGAGCAGAAGCCAGTTTACTTCCAGAGAAAAGTAGGGGGCGATATGAAATAGCATTGAAAGTATACGAAAAATGGCGTGCCGAAAGAAATGTTAAGAATATTGCTTCGGAGGCTTGGTGGCATATTTTAGCAACATGACAAGACAGAAAAATCCATCTACTCTTTGGGCTACGTACAGCATGATACGGACAATGCTAGAATTAAGGGAAAAGACTGACATATCAAAACATCACAAACTCGTCGCTTTTTTAACACGCCAGAATGTAGGTTTTAACCCACAGGAGTCTAGCATTTTTACCTTTAACAAATAAATGTATTAAAATCTTCATTTAATTATTATTGTTAATATTCTTGTTTATTTTTGTTGATGTTAGATAAGTATTTAATAAATATATTACAAGAATATTTTGCTTAATTAAATGAGGCGAGAAATAAAAAAAAACGAGTGAGGAAAATGGGTGAGGGAAATAGATGAAGGAAATGGGTGAGGGAAATGGAAGAGGGAAGAAATGTAGATAATTTGACACTTTTTAAAAGTCAGTAATGTCAGTATTACCAGAGAGAACACTAATAACTAAAGTGAGAGGGCTTGTGGAATAGGGCATTTCGTAGACAAGTTTATTTTGTCACCGCGCATCCCAGACGCGCATAGCGTTTAGGCGGTCAAAAAAGGAAGTTTTCAGCTTTGCAAGTTAAACATTTGACAGGATTAATTAGATTGTCAGTAGCTTTTTCTATTTCTTAGCTCTAGAAGGAGATAACTAAAATTTGTTGATAATCGGTGTAATAAATTGTTTTTAACTGAATGTACTTGTTCTTTTAGCTTGTGAGAAGAGAAGATTATTGTCATATAAGTGTCATTATTGATTATTTGAGATTCCACGATTATTCGGCATTTTTGTAATTTTTGTGTTGTGGTTGAGATCCAGACAAAACGTGTCCTTTAAAGGTAAGTTTTATCTCGGTAATTATACTTTAAAATACCTAATAGTAATAGTGAGTGCACATAATATAGTCTAAGAGCTAGCAACGTTTTCGAGAAAGTATTTTAAGACGTCTGGCTCTTTGATATATCTTTTACTATGCTCTCTGGAACAGTATGCGGCCCGTCTGGCTGCCGATATCCGTTGCGTTCACTACTGCGTATCGGAAGAAGATCCTATTTTTTTTAATTTAGTCCTATAAATTCTAGTATTGAATATAAATCGAACATGTCTCCATAGCGCAGTGCGTAGAGCGTAGAGTTTCCGACGATTTCGTACGAGCGTACGAACCGACGATTCAGAGTTCGAATCTGGGCCATGGCAAAGATTTTTTTATTTTATTTTCGTATATATTCTGATAGTAAAGTATTAAATAATTCTGGTGATTCCAAAAAAAAACAAATGTTTAATACTTTACTATCAGAATATAAACGAAAATAAAATAAAAAAGTTTTTGTCCTGACCCGGATTAGAACTGTGACTCCTCGGTTCGTGGTCTGAAACCCATTGAGCTATGGAGACTCGGTCGGTTTATATTCAATACTAGAATTTAAACGACTAATAAAATATAGGATATTCTTTTAATGCGCAGTAGGGAACGCAACGTTTACCGGTAGCCAGACGGGCCGCATGCTGTTCTAGAGAGCATAGTAAAAGATATATCAAAGAGCCAGACGTCTAAAAATACTTGTTTTTCCGACGTTGCTAGCTCTCGTACTAATAGTCGTACATTGCTAATTTACATAGGTAAGCATAACATGTGGAATAAATCCGATATCCGTAAAAGTAAAGCATCACATTCTTTTCTGATACCTATGGAACGACTAGGTATTATACCTGGTATATTACCAGTAATACAAATTATTTTTTTCAACTGATTTGTTCTTGTTATAGAATAAAGACTATCAAAAACATTGAATACCTACGGGATACCTACTGATACTCTGTGCGAGCTCCCAACCGTGCTTCCCTGTTTACTCCCAACAAAGTTAGATAAAAAAGATATTGAAGATTGCAGCCTTGAGTTGGAGTATGGCAAGGAGTATGGGCTCCACTACGACATGTACAGAAATGGATTAACCTAAACTGGTAAGCATGTAAAATTAAACCATAATGAAAAATTGAACTTATTTATTTTTAGTCCAAGAAAAAGCATGACAATCCACCAAAGACCTAGTAAATTAATTCTGCAAAAACTGAAAACCAAACTAAGTTAAATAAATTATTATGTTCCTACACAGTATTTTATTTATAGGTTTTAATGCTTTAAAGTCTAATAATAAATTTTCGTTGTCAACAAAATAATCTAAAAAAACTACGAAGATTTCTTATTATAAACTTGAAAGATTAAGATTCGGTTCCAAATACACAAATTTTAAATTTTTGGCGCCAGTATATAGATATGAATGCAACCTACTATATCGATAATGCGCTCATAGTTCGGGTTAGACGCCAAAGGCCGCGCAACTAACACAGTCTGCGAAAATTAACGTTGATCGGTCTCTCTCACTTTAGTTATTAGTGTTCTCTCTGGTATTACATAATGTGGTTGTAAATAAAATCATTTTACTTACCGGAACTATTATCAAAATCTCCGCTAAACCACGAATCGTAATAAAACAATATGCCGCAGCACAAATACGCCACAAGATTAACCAGGGCCACAACCAGTAATAGCCACCGCCACTGCATCATCACCAGGGTGTTCCATAGATCTCTGGCGAACTTGATCGACTTGTGCGGAATTTTTTTGAAGTAGAGTTTCGTTCTGCCTCTCTTGTTCACCAATCTGGCGTCGGATTTACGATACTGAGAACTCTGGATGGAAACGTTACGACGTAAGGCGTCATGTTTAGAGTTCCGACTAAAATAAAAGCACTGCTTGTAAAAACTTACTTAAATCTGTTGTGTGACGTAAAGGTACTACAGCTTGCCGCTCTGTTAAAATGATTTTACCAGAGCTTGAACGGCTTGTGATGAACGTATCTTAATCTAGTTATATTGTACTCGAAAAAGTCTTTTAGAAGAAAGTTTTGGGGGAATTCTAGCAGCGAAACCTGGGTGCCGATGCCGTACCGCCGACACATGAACGCATTAAGGTACATTCAGGCTGATAGCGTCGAACGCTCGACGCTCTCAGCCTGAATGTACCTTTAAACAAGTTGCAACAGAGACCCCCCATCTTAGACAAGAATAAAATGGTTCCATCATGTCTCAAACGTATCCTTGAAAAAGCTAACTGCGAGAGTATTGAAGTCATGTATACAAAGTCCCGCTTAAGATGGGCTGGTCACGTATACAGAATGCAAGAATAACATAATGTATTATAATAGTAGTCTTTTTGAAGTTTCTTTTTGTCGCAACCTAAGTTTTTTATAAAGGAATTTGTACACATCTGGTTTTCAATGATTTCAAAATATCGATTTTGAAGCGATATGATACGCTCAATACGCAAAACTACGGCCAATCTTGAACCAGCGCTAGAGCCTAATCTGATTGTTTGAGGAAAAAAATATAATAATAATAGCTCCCGTATATAGCGTTTGACGCCTTGGGAGTAGCAAGGTACAGCTTGCCATGCTAGAGCCGTTAGGTATACAAGGAAGGTAATGTGGCTAGCACTACGCTTCAACCGCCTATTATTACCTCAGGATTGTGATCCCAAGTACTCATTTAAGGCTGAGTCGAGCTAGGTACCCAAAAAATTTTTATTTTAATAAAAATAGTCGGCTGGTGAAATGCCTGGTGCGGGATTCGAACCCACACCTTGAGATTGGTAGACGAGAGCCTGTACCTCTACGCCACCGGGCACCATATAAAGAAAACATATAAAGAACTGAATTTGTAGTGTGTTTTGTCTACTTTAATTTTGTATGGAGGTATCATATCTGAAAAATGTACTTTTTTGGAGTTATATGCAAAAAAACTGAAAAAATTGCATTTTTTGCGTTTTTTTGTATTCTTTTCAGTTTTCCGTCACAAAATTTTGTTAACATCAGATTCAGTGCTCCAAAAATATAGGACTACCCCAAAACTTTCCCTTAAAAAATACAATTATCTATCTGCCAAAAAAATCTGTGGTCCGGTTTGTGTTAGTTCCAGATGTTTTAAATATTTGTTTCTTTGTTCTTTGTGTTTTTTGTTGCTTTTGACAACGGGAAAATATATGCCTCTCGGAAAGTTTACGACTTTTTGACGGTTGAGCAAATTTGTTTTACGAGTAAAATGTCTTTGAGTAAATTGGTCCCCGTTGGATCAACGCAGTGTTATTTACAAGGGGTAACTTTTTTATTTGGAAAGTTTCCTCTAGGTGACGAAAAACTCCGAATTGCAAAGTTAAATTAATGGCCAATGCCATAAAAATCGGAGAAGAACTATTGGAATATGTAGCGGTATTCAATTACTTTGGCAGTTTAATTTCGGAAAAGGCCAATATCGACTCAGAAAGCACAGAATTAGCGGCGCCTCAAGAGCATTCTGGAAATTAAAAGATAGGGTGTTCTAATCATGACTTGAGTACAAAAACGAAAGTTGCAGTGTACCGAGCAATAATAATTCCCACCATGCCCCAAGTAGCATTTTCACGACTTGCGACCACATGTTTACTAAACACAACGTTGGATTAGAGTTACAAAAAATAGTTAGCTCCGTACCTTGGGTATTAAAATAAATGTAAACGTTGTTGTAACGTTGTGCCGACATTGCACTAGTACTACAACAAAGTAAAAGCTTCTGCGACGTCGAATAAACGTTGTCTTGTAACCTTTTTTGCCTAAGTGAACTTTAGGTGATTCGAACAACGTAGTTACAATGTTGGGCAATCAAGAGTTTTCCGACGTCACTTTTAGTACCTATTCCAACGTTATGCAAACGTCGTCTGTTTTACTAATTCCAACGTTGTATAGATTTCCTTATTCTTACGTTGGTAGGACGTCGAGCCACTACCTTTTTGCAACTGTATTGAACCATAACCTTAAATCTTAAATTTTCACTTCATTGTTCTGTATATAAAATTTTCAGTGCTGTTTTTGTTTTTTTAAAAAAAAAACATAATTAAAATGGGACGTAAGAAAGGCACATATAAAACTAAATTTAAATTATACATCGACATATTACCTATACTTTATCCACTCCCTCGTTTATTTAGAATATAGAGGGCGGCACAAGCTAGACTCTAGGATGACTAAATTAGGCAATCTTGCGACTAGTTAGTCCAGTATATGCGACTTCTCGAACTACTCCATCTTAATCTCCAAAACAACAAAGTGAAAGCCGCCATGTTCTTGAATAAGAAAATGTTTCGTTCCTGAAATAGCAATTCCTGCTTTTTGAATACATTAACTTGAAATATTTGACCCTAAACAACACGCGGAAACTATTTTTTTCGAGTGCGAATAAATTATTCTCATTTTACTTAAAAAAAATTCGAGAAATTTTTTAAAACTTCTTTAATTTTAAGGCCCATTAGTATTTTTCAAAGTAGTAACAATACATTTATCAATAAAGTTGTTTACATTTAACTTTTTTGCCTTGGGTAACGAGTTACAGAGTCGTTTAAAGTGTTTCAATAATTATGATCTTCAAACATCCTCCACACTTAAATACTTTTGTTTTGTTTTTCTTTACTGCCATCTGGCATATGTCTCTAACTAAATCATAAAAATAATATTTTTACTATAATTATCCCAATTTAGGATAAAACGCGACTTAAACGCCATATTATTATAGTTTTGTATTTCTGTGAATTAGGATTTTAAACAACGTTGCAGTTTGTACTAAATTAGGCTGCTAGCCAACGTCGTTTCGACCCAAAAATTATTCTCCAAACTAGTGCAGACTAGGGTTGGCACGAGGTTGTGCCGACGTTGCGCCCCGACGTTTGGTCGCGTGACACAACGTTGTCCCGACGTTCAAATGCTGCTTGGGCAGTGTTATTTACAAGGAGTAACTTTTTTATTTGGAAAGTTTCCTCTAGGTGGCGAAAAACTCCGAATTGCAAAGTTAAGTTAATGGCTAATGCCATAAAAATCGGAGAAGAACTATTGGAATATGTAGCGGAATTCAATTACTTTGGCAGTTTGATTTCGGAAAAGGCCAATATCGACTCAGAAAGCACAGAATTAGCGGCGCCTCAAGAGCATTCTGGAAATTAAAACACAGGGTGTTCTAATCATGACTTGAGTACAAAAACGAAAGTTGCAGTGTACCGAGCAATAATAATTCCCACCATGCTATATAGGCATGTTCGGTCTTCCGGTATACCGGTACTTTTGAAAAATTCCGGTATCGGTACCGGTACCGGAGAACCGATTTTGGTACCGGTAACGGAAGACCGGTTTAAATCGGTCCCGAAAGACCGGTTTTAATTGGTACAGAAAAATAGATTCATGATAATATGAAAAGCAAAAAACCTGTATTAGACGATTTCGGTACCGGTTTTTGTGCAAAGCTGATTGTGTTCTCCTACTTTACGTACCGTATGATCGAAAAAAAAGCTGCGTCAACGATGGCTATGAAATGGAGATCGCTGTAATTTTATATGTAAAATTGTATGGGGAATGTAATCGATGTTCATTTCCAAGCCAACTGGACACCGTTTTTTTATCATTCGGTATAATACGGTCAGGAACATGCATTGTAATTTATTTTGATGTATGTTTAAGGCATTGCTAGACTAGTTTGGTCTAGTAATCTAGTCTTCTTTTTTTAGTATAGTACATCTAAAATTCAAGTAAAGCATCTTACTCATGGATCACTCATGTATATTATCTAAATTAAAATGTCCTTAAAACTCATAGCTAACATCGTTTTATATGGGCGACCTTCAACAAATTAGAGACAATTTGTAGTTCTTTAAACATCCTGAAACCCCAGCGATGAACCGTTGAGCCCGTCACCCCAAAACCACCCCTACAAGGGGTAAAAGTGGCCCTTTTTTTATTTTTTCTTCAATAACTCTAAAACTACGAATTTTAGGAAAAAATGTCACGAGTAAAAAATTGAAGAGAAGAAAATTTCCTACCATATAGTAAAGAACCAAAATTTTTAGAATTTCAGTGGCGCAGGTGCGAATTCTTTAATTTAGGAGGATTGTTTTAATAACCCACCATTCTGTGTTTAACTTCTAATGAAAGCATTTTTGAGATAAATCTCGAGACCAAAAAATTTATTAGGATACAAGTTCCTATAAAAACGGTCTTTTTAATTAAGGTAAGTTACCAGTGGCGGAGATATCTTTTTTAAATATGCGTTTTTTACATTTTTAAAACATTGAATAAGAAAAATTGCAGTTTTGCAAATAATTTCCCATGAAATAATTTTTTTATGGGATTTTCTTATTTTGTTTCATAACAAAATAAGAAAAACCTTAGCTCAAAAATAGGATAACTTATCTTAAGGATAGTCCTCATTCACTTCCACATTTGCTGGGTTCATACATGTAATGCCATTGCATTGACCACATGCCATAGTGCAGGAAAGTCCCATTCGCTTGAATGTACATGCTTTTTTACAGCCTCCCGAAGAGCAATTGCAAAAAATTTTCTCTAAAACTCATGTAGGAGCAATAGGCTGGTCTGAATGTATTGGATTCATCTCTCGATTTTTCAGATTCCAACCCCAATCTTGCGGTGGTTAATTGTTATTTAACCAAGCCTGTACCCTGCGATATTTTCAAATCTGTTTTCTCAATACTATAATTATATAACATATCGCTATGGTAAAAATGTCACTGTTGTTTTTGATGGCTATGAAGAGATACAGACCAAAATTGTGGATCAGAATCGCAGATCTGCAGGTAAAAAAATGGTACCAATTGTATCTTTCTCGAATTTTTCTGCAGTGAAGGTACCAAAGGCAGATTTTTTGTCAAACACCACCAAAAGAATGAAGTTGTTTTGTTGGTGTTAAACACCAACAAAAGCAACTTCATTCGTGCGCCCGGAAAAGTATTGTTGGAAAATTGAATCAATGTTAAATTCGCTGATGGTGATGCCGATACTCTTATTGTAACTACAGCGGTCGCAATAAGCGACAATTTACCAGAAGGGACCGTAGCAGTAGTTAGCGAAGATACGGACATTATAGTGTTACTGATTCATTATTGCCACAACAGACTGTTTATGATTCCTCCGGGAAAGGTGTCAAAACAAAATAAAATAATCGACATATCGGCCTTACAACAAAAATTGGGGGATCTGAAGAATGTGATTCTTAGACCCACGCTATATCTGGTTGTGATACAATGTCTGCTGTGTTCAATAAAGGGAAGATTAATTTAGTGAACACCATCCAGAAGAAAAAGTTATGTGAGCTATTAAAAGAATTTTATAATCCCGAGGCTACAAAGGAGAAGTTAGAAGAAGTTACATCTCAGTTTTTTATAGCAGCATATGTTAAAAACTCGACAAAAAAGTAGATTTGGATAGTGCCAGACACATGCTTTATCAACAGTACGTAAGTACGTAGCTAAACGAAGTCTTAATACCAACTTCAACTTGGCATCATTACCACCTACCTCCAATAGTGCGAAATATCATGGACTTAGAGTTTTTCATCAGGTAAGTTAAATTTATGTTGCATTCAAATGTTAAACAAAATTCTCATTTTACAGGTACAGGCTTGGTTAAATAACAATTTACCACCGCAAGATTGGGGTTGGAATCTGAAAAATCGAGATATGAATCCAATACATTCAGACCAGCCCATTGCTCCTACAAGGGTTTTAGAGAATTTTTTTTGCAATTGCTCTTCGGGAGGCTGTAAAAAAGCATGTACATTCAAGCGAATGGGACTCACCTGCACTAAGGCATGTGGTCAATGCAATGGCATTACATGTATGGACCCAACAAATGTGGAAGTGAATGAGGACTATCCTTAAGTTATCCTATTTTTGAGTTAAGGTTTTTCTTATTTTGTTATTAAACGTGTAATTTTTCAATATTCCTATTTCATGGGAAATTATTCTATAATTATAATATATTATTTTCTTATTCAATGTTTTCAAAATGTAAAAAACGCACATTTAAAAAAATTATCTCCGCCACTGGTAACTTACCTTAATTAAAAAGATCGTTTTTATAGGATCTTGTATCTTAATAAATTTTTTGGGCTCGAGATTTATCTCAAAAATGCATTTCATTTGAAGTTAAACACAGAATGGTGGGTTATTAAAACAATCCTCCTAAATTAAAGAATTCGCACCAGCAGCGGCACTGAAATTCTAAAAATTTTGGTTCTTCCCTATGTGGTAGGAAATTTTCTTCTCTTCAATTTTTTACTCGTGACTTTTTTTCCTAAAATTCGTAGTTTTAGAGTTATTGAAGAAAAAGTAAAAGGGCCACTTTTACCCCTTGTAGGGGTGGTTTTGGGGTGACGGGCTCAACGCTTCATCACTGGGGTTTCAGGATGTTAAAAAGATAAAGATCTACAAAATGAAGCTCTACGCCAAATTTCAGCTTGTCTCTAATTTGTTGAACCTCGGCCTGTATAGGCTCTGGGCTATCAGGCCGATATTCAATAGCGCCTACTCTGTTATTTAAAATATGGAAAATAGCATCTTATTTTCTCGCTCCATTTATATCTCCAAGAACAGCAGCTTCCAGTACTTTTTTCCACTTTTTATAAGTAAAGAGAATGTTGGAAAAGATAATAACATACTTACGATAAGCTCCTGGTTGTAAAAATCACTGGAAAATTAAAATTCTGGTCACTATCATTATTAATAAACTTTAACAACTCGTCTCGTTCAACGGTCATATTGTTTCTCCGTAATTAGTTATTATTCACATATCTACGTAGGTAGTATACAAACACAACATCAGCAGGTATACAAATATCATCTGGTTTATACCGACAGGAAGATAAGATAATTTTTTCTTATGAAAATACCGCCAAAACGTAAAACAATTATTAATAGAAAATGTATGATTTACGCTACCGTTTTTTTTCTCAATGTGAATATACAGGGTGTCCAATGTTCGTAATGACTCTGCTTTTTTTCGCGTATTAATATAGATATAAAACTAGCGGTTTTTGCAAACCTGAGCTACTTTTTAGTAATCCTATATATTTTTTGGCGTTCCTAATAAATATATAGGATATATCACGAAATAATGGCTCAAAAATATAAAATATCATATTTTATGTTTTCAGCCATAATTTCGTGATAAAATATAAAAAATTGTGGTAGTTATCATACCGTGCTGGCAACTGTTACTCTTGGGTCGGTACTTACATGTATGGAAGTAAATCGCGGCGTTGCCGGTACGCCTTTCCCTCTCAGGTAAAGTAAAATCACGAAAAAAACGAGAAAAGATAACTAGATAAAATCATTAGATATGATTCTGAGCATCTAAAATGGAATTATAAGGATATATCGTTAGGGTGCCCATTTTTTTATAACGATAAAACGTCAGTAATCGCGATAATTTTAAAACTCAACTTTTTAACACATAACACGCCATAATTTAAGAACCACTTTTTTCTTTTTTTTTTAATAACACACAATATCCGCAGGATATTCATAGAATGTCGGAATGTCCCATTATAAGATCATCTTATAAAGACATATATAGGATATCCTCCAGACATCCTGTAGATGTCTCAGAATAGAATATCCTATGGATATCTCTGTCGTATATCTAATGTACATCCAGCTGAGATATCCAAACATGCTCATGATAATAAAATATCCTAACAATATCGTCTAGATATTTAGGAAAAATAAATAACGTACTACTTTTTATATTACATAAAATGCAATAAACCATACAGATAGGTATATATATTACGTCAAGGCAACAAAATATCCTCTTGGTATCTTCTGGATAATCTGGATATTGATGAGCTTGGCCACTCCCAGTAATACAGAGAATTAAAAACGCCCGCGCAAAAAATTTCCCACAATCCATCTCGACAGTTGTTTATTTTTGATGGTTTTTGCATCCTGTATTATTCAGTCCTTTGAGTTAGTGAGATTCGAGGTGAATTCGGTCATTTGTCGATATTGGATGGGCTTAAAAATGACTGAAACTAACAAAACTGGTTGAGTTTGACTTAGCTTTTTCTTATACTCATAGTTCTAGCCTTGTTCTAGCACAGGGTTGCCATATTTAGAAGAAGAAAAAGCGGGACGCACTGAATGACCGCCGGAGGTGAAAATGTTTGGGTGCCACGCCTAAAAATGTTTATTTTAATATCTTAAATAATAATTTATTGTGGGATTGTGGTATAAAAAATGTTTAAAAATGAAAATACACAAGCACAAAACGAAAAATATAATAAACATATTAACATTATTTATATTTTATTAAAAATAAGATAGTATAGGTAGGTAGTTGGTTTTTTTTATCAACAAAGGGGATAATATAAAGTTAACATGATTGCTAAGAAATTATAATAAATGCTGACGATAACCACCATTACCGATTATTCTCAGGTCCGTACTCAAGAAAACCCCCGGTGATGGCCATTTTTGTTACCAGACGTCTGTAAAATATATTTTAAAAAGTCCGTATTAAAAAAAATAAAATAAGTTGGTATCGATACCTGAACAGCTATATATTTGGTGAATTTTCCAAGTAGCATATTTTGTAGAAAAAGAAAAAAATATAAAATTTGTGCACAAAACTTATGATTCTATAATTATTAATAGTTTTTGAGTTATTTTTTTTAATAAAATAAATGTTACACATTTTGTACATATTTCCCTGTATATTGGAAACAAATGAAATTTTTGCAACTCTGTAAACGTAACTTTATTGAGCACAAAAATGCGCAACTTTTTTCTAATTTAACAAACCTCGTATCTTTTGGTGGATTATTCTGTATATGAAAATAGTTTAATATGCCTACCTCTCTTTTTCTTTTATTTTTTAATTTACCCCTAGCCAGTCAATCTCATCAGAGGACACTGAGGAATCTGAATCCATTTTGTTGCAAAAAAAAAGAATTAACCTATAATTATATAATTATATATAATATTAAAATGTACGTAATATGCAGCAAATTAACTCAACATAACGCGTTTGATGTCGGGTAAAGCACTCACTGCACGGACCACGGACACGGAGCAAGGAGCAAGTACACCTTCTACCTTCTGTGAAGTACACCAAACACCAAAGTACAAGTACACCACAGAACAGAAGTACACTACAACAAGGTCTTTTAAAATTAAAAGACAAAAGACCTTGCGACAAAACGTAAGCGACAAGCGACTAAATCCCGTGAAAGAAAAAGAAGAGAGAAAGAAGAATCAGTAGGAATGGCAATGATGCATCGATATGTCATGTATTTAAACCGTCGATACTTGAAACGGTGAGGCGGACACGAGGCGATAACAGAGTTTACGCATGATGCCATTGTCGCATGTCTCCTACTATAGTGGCGAAGGAAGATTTTGGGAATTTGGAAGCAGAGAACGAGATGCGGGACAAATCGGGACAGTCTCGGGCCGCGGGACATATCGGAACACATCGATTAAAATCGGGACAGTCCCGCCTAAATCGGGACGTCTGGCAACCCTGTTCTAGCAGAAATTCTATCCTAACCTCAACTAATGTCGAAAAACGACGAACAACTCAGGGTCTCACAATGAAGAATTTGTGACAAAATTATAGGTGAAAATTTGTTGAAAATCGCTTGTTCTTTATCCATAAACCCATTTTCGTGTTTGATCTATTTAAACAGAAATCCTATTTTTGGGTTTAAATTTTGAATTTCTGGAATGTGTGGTGTTAGAAATTATACCTGTATCCTGTGTGCTAACTTTGATGTAAACTGTTGCTGCTAGACATAAACTGGTAGACTCCATAAAGGGTAGTATAATCTTGTATAATACCATACGATCGAAAAAAACGGCGTCAGAGGTGGCTTGGAAATGAAGATTGCTGTTATTTTGTCCGTAAAATTATATGGGGAATGTCATCGATCGTAATTTTCAAGCCAATTGAATGCCGTTTTTTTTCGATGGTACAGTATAAATTGAAAGGTCTTAACTCATACAAATAAACTTCTAAATTTTGACGCAAAATTCATTGCCATAATATGTAGGTATATTTTAGAGCTGTTAATAAAAATATCCAATGAATAACGTCAAAATGTGGCTAAATAAAACTAAATCGCTAACGTTTTTATTATAAACTAAGGATGAAGTAAGTATTGTCAAATAACAGTCCTCATATAATGTCCTAAAAATATTCTATAATGCTCCCAACATCATCCTTGTATTATCCTAGAAATATCCCAAATAATCGTAAAAGGCTTGCCTATAGGGATGTCTTGAAGATGGCTTTTTTGTCCCACTTGGATATCCCATAAATATCCTCCTCTGGTTTTTGGATATCCCTAAGATATTTACTATATCCTTGGTGGATATCCTCAAGATATCTATAGAGGATATCTATAGGATTGTGTTGTGTTATATGGGTTAGGTATTGAAACTTTTTTTTATTTTGAAGATCGGATCTTTTACAATATGTTTAAATAAGAAAAATTCGATAAGGTTGTTTTTTCCATTCAAAACTTTTAAACAACCCATCCATTTTACTTTTAGTGCATAGCAATTTTCAGCAATCGTGTAACTTTTTATTGATAAATATTTTCACATACTGTCTGTGAATAATAGATTTTGAGATATCGATTCATTTTGAATTCAGAGTTCTAATAGCGCGACCCCTGTCGAACACCAACTCAATACCACTTATTTTTACCAAAAATGCAAGTATTTCTAACCTGCACTTAAAAATTTTCATGCTAAAGGGAAAGTTATTTTAGGGCAGTTTCTCGGTCTAGTTCGTACGATTGGTAACGTGTTTACTGTTCTCTCTTTGTTCAGTACATTATAAACGCATTGTACTCTTCTTACATACGGAAATCTCGACCCAAGACTAACCTTTGCCAGCCCTTAGTATACGATTTGAAGTTGAATTTTAACCTTCAATAACTTTCAAACGAGCCGATTAAATGAAAATTCAAATCAGAACTTTTTTGAAGACCGTTCAATTTCCTACAAGAGTGTGTATTGATTTTTACAAAACACTGATTTATTAATAAATGGGAAATAGAAAATCACGATGAGATACCACTTAATATTAATATTAAGAGCTCAACCAAATCATCCTGAACAATATTTTCACGGTAACTAAAAAGAAAAATAACTATGTATTTTTTGGTGCACCCTACTGTATGTACAATTTATTTTTAGAATAAGAAATATTCCGCTGTTTGAACGAGAAATATCATATACTGGTCGATAATATTAAAACAAATAAGAAATGCTTTTAGTGTTTGTATTATGTTTAAAACAATAGGAACGCAAATGTATGTAGCATTTGCTTGTGTAATAAGTATATTTGTTCAAGCTTTTAATTAGATTGATCGCAGGATTATTTAGGAACGCCTTATGTATATTTGATGATTCTATATTTGTCTACTTGTTTATATAATTCGACAAAATAATAGAAAAGTACATACGGAAGACCCATATCTTCGTTGTTAACGTTGACAAAGATATGAAAAAAAATTGGCGCCGGGAGGCACGTATAACCGCCCATACTAAAATATGTTAATAAAAAAAGTTGGTAGGCAGTTCTTTTAGTTTCAAAGTAAAGGAATTTTTCCAATTTTAGTCCGCGGTTATTTCCCCCATCCGCCACCTGGGGTCGCGTCCGATGGGAGTTTGGAGTTCTCCACACGGATTTTCTCAAAAACGGACTACGGAAACACGGAATATCTCAAAAACTGCGACTTTGACTGATTTTGATGTTATTACAAATTTTGTTGCAAATATTATTC